ATCTAACCTCAATTTTCTCCTCTCTTCACTTGTCTCTAACGCCACCGGCAGCAATGGTTTCTCCACGGGCTTCTACAACACCACCGCAGGCCAAGACCCTGACAAGGTCTACGCTCTCTTTCTTTGCAGAGGTGATGTCACTCCCACCACCTGTAAAGACTGTGTCAATTTTGCTACCTCAGACATTCTTAAACGTTGTCCTGTTGAAAAACAAAGTATAATATGGTACGACCAGTGCTTTCTACGCTACTCAGACGCGTCTATCTTTTCTGCCGTGGACGGTGACCCCAGTGTTATTATGTCCAACCCTAATAATGTTACAGAAAAAGAACGGTTTAATCAGCTAGTAAGGACTACAATGAAGGAAGCATCAAATGATGCCGCTGATTCCCCTAAAAAATATTCGACAAAAAAGGCAAACTTTACAACCAGTCAACCACTGTACTGTCTTGTACAGTGCACACCAGACCTGTCAAGTTTTGACTGTAACAGTTGTCTTGAACAAACTTTTGTTAGTTTGCCGACAACCAAAGCAGGAGGAAGAGTTATGGTTGCAAGTTGTTATAGCCGGTATGAATTGTACCAGTTTTATAATGAAAACGTTACTGCCGCACCGCCGCCGACGCCTGTGCTCTTTTCTCCACCTCCTGTTTCTGTAACAAGGCCTAAAGGTAAAGTTGAACTAACCCACTTTGATTTCTTTTCATTGTTACTTTTAGGTAAATTTAAGCTTTAATATTCGTTTTTTTTTTCAGGAAACAGCGGAATTTCATCTTCAATAATCATCGCCATCATAGCTCCAATTGTTGTAGCTTCAGTGCTTTTCATAGCCGGCTATTGCCTTCTAATTAGGAGAGCAAGAAAGAAGAAGAGTCCTCCACTGGAAGATAATGGTAAATCTATTATCTTTTACTTCCAATCCAAACAATCTTTTACTTTGCCATTTGTCTGTGCTCTAGAAATGTTATTGTTGCACTCTTTCGGATGATTCAATTATTTAATGTCTGGCTGTGCCTGTGTAGCTGGAAATGATGACATTACAACTCTAGAGTCCTTGCAATTTGATCTGGGGACAATTGAAGCAGCCACCAAAAATTTCTCAACTGATAACAAGTTGGGCGAAGGTGGATTTGGTGAAGTTTACAAAGTACGTATAGCGTTGATTCCTATTGTATTTATTTAGACACAGTCGGTTCAAAAGATGATCTAACGTTTTGTTAATGAATATTCTCAGGGCATACTTCCTAATGGAGAAGCAATAGCAGTAAAAAGGCTATCAAGCAGCTCTCGGCAAGGTGCAGAAGAATTTAAGAATGAGGTTGTATTGGTAGCCAAGCTTCAACACAGAAATTTGGTTAGGCTACTGGGATTTTGCTTGGAGGGAGAAGAAAAGATTCTTGTCTATGAATTTGTGATGAACAAAAGCCTCGACTGCTTTCTATATGGTCTGAATTATCTCCATGAATTTCAACCATTCATGAGTCCAATATCCTTGTTTTGCACTAGACCAAATGGATTCTTTTGTTCATCCTTTGTAGATGGGCTAAGTTGCTTCATTATGGATTTGAACTGAACCCCTAAATAGTTTAATTTGAGATTTTGATTTGACATATGCAGACCCTGAAAGACAAGCAGAATTGGATTGGTCAAGACGCTACAAGATAATTGGAGGCATCGCTCGAGGAATGCTTTATCTTCATCAGGATTCTCAATTGAGAATTATACATCGTGATCTTAAAGTTAGCAATATATTGTTAGATGGAGATATGCACGCAAAAATTTCTGATTTTGGCATGGCAAGGATAGTTGGAGTTGATCAAACTCAAGCGAATACAAATAGAATTGTTGGGACATAGTAAGTTTTGACTACGATTTACTTTGAGGAAAGCAGATAGATGAATTCATTCATTAATTATATAATCCTAACTGTTGAATCATTGCGAAAGAGAAAAAATATGTATTGATTGTTTACAAATTTCTACTTGAAATTCACAACACAAATAGCTCTAGGCATAACATTTAGAGAACCTGTTGGTTAGCCTTAGATAAATTAATATGTAAGTTTTTTCGATTAATTTTCAAAGGTTCCTTGTTGTCTTTAATATTAACATAATCTTTGTCGCACAGTGGTTACATGTCTCCAGAATATGCTATGCATGGGCAATTCTCAGTGAAATCCGATGTGTATAGTTTCGGTGTCCTAGTACTAGAGATCATTACTGGCAAGAAGAACAACAATTTCTATCAAACAGATGGTGCTGAGGATCTCATGAGCTATGTAAGCAAAATTGTATACTGTATTTTCCCCTTTGTTAAGAGTTAGTATCCTTACCTGCAAATAAGAGAGTGGAGAAATAAAAGAATTGGAGCTAAAGCTCATTTATCGTGACGAATTTATTATTTCAGGTTTGGAAACATTGGAGGAATGGGACACCGTTGCAATTATTGGATTCAACCTTGACAGATTCTTACTCGAGAAATGAAGTGATTAGGTGCATACATATGGGGTTGTTATGTGTCCAGGAAGATCCAGCTGACAGACCTACAATGTCAACTATAGTTCTCATGCTTAATAGTTACTCTGTTACTCTTCCAGCACCTCAACAACCAGCCTTTTTCTTTGCTAGAAGAAGGGAGACTAGCATGGCAACAGAGGAGTTTGACTTTGATCAATCTAAAAGCAAGTCAATCCCATGGTCTGTTGATGATGCATCAATTACTCAAGTATATCCTCGATAATCGGGTGTTTTAGACTTCAATTCACTTGTACAACCACAAGTGACAAAAATGCTTGTTTCCATATTGTAGTTTGGTGAACTGAAGTATTCTTCATCGTATAGTGATCCTATATTGGCCTACTTTATTCAGGTAGATGCAGCCTGAAAGAGAGGAGATGTATGCTCAGTATTTTCTTGTTTCTGATATAATTTTCATTATGTGCTATCGCCAGCCTTGATGGTATGCTCTGTATAAAACAGAGTTTTCTGAGGAAAGAGTATCAAATAGTTAATTTGTCACTACTTTCCATGATCTGCTGTCTTTGAAAAATCAATACCCTTTTATTATACTTGAATTATTACTCAAATACTTCTTTCCTCCAAAGCCAACTCCAGCAATGGTTTCTACAACACCCTAGGCCAAAACCCTAACAAGGTCTACAGTCTCTCTCTACTGGGGCGATGTTACCACCAGCGTCTGCCAAGACCCTGTCAGATTTGCTACCAGAGATGTAACTCAACGTTGCCCTGTTAAAAAACAGACCCTAATATGGTACGAACGGCGCCTTCAACGTTTTTCAAACTAATCTTTCTTTTCTGTTAGGTCTGAAGCACCCTGGTTTAGTATGTGGAATGCACAAAAGAGTGCTGACCAAAACCGGCTTAACGAGTCAATGGGGATGTTGACGAACGAAGCTGCAACGGTGGCTATAAATTCTCCCAATATGTTTGCAAACAAGAACGGAAGCTTTTACATCCTTTCAAACAGTATACAGTCTTGTGCAGTGCACTAAAGATTTATCGAAGTACTGATTGTAATAGATGTCTTGAAGGAGCTATTTCGCGGTTGCCGGATTTTTGTATAAAGTTTTTGTAAGTGTAGTATTATTCTGAATGATTTAGGACTTTGCAGCTTAGTGTTTTGGTTACAGGGAAACTTGGTTATACAAATGATCTAGAGTTGAGGTTCATTCTCAACCAATTGGTGTAGTACAATGACAAATTACCAATCAATATTTGAAAATTACCCACAGCTTTTAAGAAGGTAAATAAACAACAAATGTCTTCTTTATTTAAGGAAATACAATTACAAATTATTCTAGTATCATTTTTAAATGGTAAGCTAATATTTTAATTTATTCTTTTAACATATATTTATGATCAGTATATACCCTTTCATTAAAACTAAATAACTTGCAACCAAAGCTAAGAATCTATTTATCCAATTCTTCAAAAAAAAAAAAAAAAAAAAAATGAATTGAACAATCTCATATGAATAGCCACTGTAGGATTCTATAACTCCTAATAGGTATGGTTTGGTTTAGCAACACGAAATCCTAGTAGATTTAGGTTTCTTTCACAAAACCTAGTATATAAACACATTATTCTTTTGCATGAGTGACATATAAAACCATAGCAAAAACATTTATTGTAACAAGAGAGGTGAATAAATATTTAAATAATATTGACTAAATAGCCTGGATTTGAGTGAACCAGGTTAAATCTTGCGTGTCAAAAGCTCTTTAGTTCTTTCAATTTCTTCAAAATTCGGTGAGAATCAATACTGTTTTTCTCTCTGCTTGTTAATCAAAATCCTAGTTTTTGTTATGTTTATATATGCAGTGTGGATTCTTTGTTGCAAGAAGAGAATTTTGAAGATGGGCAATATCTATACGAGTGAAAGACAGGATAGAATCGGCGAATTACCTGATGATATCCTCCTTCACATTCTATCCTTCCTTTCAATCGGAGAAGTTTTCAGAACTTCTGCATTGTCAACCAGATGGAAACACCTTTGTACTTTGAAGTATGCGTGGATTACTACATCTCAGCTTCAGCCATGGATATCTGCTGCAATTAGATGCAACCTGCAGGAGCTTGAATATTCTTTCGGCTATGTACCATTACCTGATAACGCTTTTACTATCAAATCACTCAAAGTAATGAAGTAAAAGATTACTTCATTTTTTCACGTTCCCAGTTTCATTAAATTATCAAATCTTAAGACTTTGCATCTTAGTCTTTTTTTGAAAAATGGGGAAGGGATTGCTGAACAACTTGAACAACTTTTTTCAGATTGTTGTCTTCTTCAAGAGCTGGTTTTAAACATAGGTATCTCTCTTAGTATTAAGAGAATCAAGATTTGTATTCCTAGTCTAAGAACAATGGTTATTCGTTGTCCATCCAACCGACGCATACTTTGTGGGTGTGGTATCACAATTTATGCTGAAAAATTGAAGGTTCTCCTGAGCATAAATTGTCTAAATATTGAAATTTTACCTTGTGATTTATCTTCACTGAATTATGCATATATTGAAGATGACAGTGACAGTTTCACTCAGCAAACTGCTCAAAATGCATTAAAACTCATGACTGGAATTTGTAATGTCAAATCTCTTACGCTGTCAGGTGATATCCTTAAGGTATGATAGCTTACTGTTTTCTCATAAATTTCATATAAATGTATTATAAAGACTGATTCTTAATTCTCTTGTTTGGTTAAGCATCTCTTTTTTGAGGAAAATCTCCAAGATGGTCTTCCTCTATTTCATCGCTTGACTCATTTGAAGGTGATTCCCAGGAAACTTGGTTATACAGATTATCTAGTGTGGAAGGATATTCTTCAAAAATCACCTAACATAGGTAGAAAATTAAACTCTCTATATTGATTATAACCCCTTTGTCATAAAGTAATTTGTGATTGTCCTGCAGTTTCTTCTCGGATGACAGGGTACTGACAGATTTGCTGCAAGTTTCTATAATCTAGTAAAAATACAGAGATGTTGAAGGAGATCAACCATCAGTTAGAAGCAATAAACAAAGGGTCAACAAATTAGTGTACTTGAGTTTGATGAGTGCTGAGTATGGTTCTTATTCAGTACTCCTTTCATTTCATAAGTTGTTGAATTGGCATATCACAGCCAACTGTTGCAAAAGAAAACAGAAATTCCATATTCATGGATTTATTTGCTCACTTATGAATGCATTCACAAATTGGTGCATCGAACAAAGCAACAGTTAGTAACTGTAGCACAAACAAAATTGTTACATTAATTTGGTAAAGATTAGCAACAAGATAAACAATTTAAATATAACTGGAACATTGAACATATCATTGGATGTGCTTTAATTCTATGGAAAGAACATATGAGAAAAACTCTTGTTTTAGAGAAATCTATAGTTGGTACATCTCGGGTTAAGTCATGGATATCTCTCAGCTTCAACTGTCAAATTACTCGTAGTATTGAAATTGAAGATTATTCCTCCCTTACTTCAGGTTTCTAGTTTCATTATCAAATCATTAAGACTTCACAGCTTAGTGTTTTGATTCCAGGGGGAAACTTGGTTGTACAAATGATCAGTGTTGGGGGACATTCTTCAAAGATCTCCTAACATAGAATCTAACGTAGTTTAAACTCTTTAACATATTGGTTATAACCCTCTTTCAACAGGTAATTCTGATTGTCCTGCAGTTTCTTTTCGGGACGGTTGATCCCAAGGGCGATCAGTTAGTGATATTTTTACTATCCTTATGTTTCTATGATCTAGTGACAGATTTGGAGAAGTAAAAGGAGATAAACCATCAGTTACAATAAGCAAAGGGTCAACAAACTGGTGTAGTTTTTTATTATGTTTATATATGCAGTTTAAATTCCTTATTGGAATTGTGAAGATGGGCAATATCTGTAAGATTAAAAGAAAGGATAGAATTAGCGAATTACCTGACCATATCCTCCTTCACATTCTATCCTTCCTTCTAATAAGAGGTGTTTTGAGAACTTCTGCATTGTCAACCAGATGGAAACATCTTCGTACTTTGATTACGGATATCGATTATGATGACTCCACATACGGCCTCAAGGTTCATTTGGACACTAACTTCTATATTGCTAGAGAAAGATCTCTCATCTTTCATGCTCATTTAAGCAAATTCTATAATGCTATAGAAACAACACTCATCTCTTATGCTCATATAAGAAAATTTGTTCTTGTTTTGAAGTATACTTTGGTTACTACTGTAAGACATTTCATCTGTAATCTAAACAGAAATACAAAGAATATAATATTCTTAAACTATGAACCAGGAATCAAGAATTACCTCCAGCCATTGAAGCAAACTCACGAGCAGTATTTTGGATCTTCTAAGCTCTCAAGACACTCTATTGATGGTGTATTTTTCTGTATATTCGCGTTCTTGAGCTTAGGGACCAAAATAATATATTCATAACCAAGCTTCCATCAAGCTTTTAATGGCTGCTTAATGGCTGCCATAAATCCCAAACGTTTGAAAACTGAAGCGTTTGAAAACTGAACAAAGAACGTGGGACCATCAACTTTAAACTGATGAAAATCACGTTATTTACATCTCATGTAATGTAGTCTTACAACTACATCTCTAGTTAACCATGGATATCTGCTGCAACAAAATGCAACCTGCAGGAGCTTGAGCTTTCTCTTGACGGGGTTGTGTTACTGATAACACTTTCCTAGCCTAATTGCTCGTTTTTGGCCAGAATTCACTTCCCCGCAACCCACCCGGCGACTGCCCCTTTAGGCCAACCGACCTGATTCCGGCGCCATTGGACCTCCTGCCACCCCCATCGCTACCTGTCCCCTCCACACCAAGACCCCCGCTTCCCCACTCACTGCCCCAACCAATCACCGGCGCCACTAGGTTTGTGTTCGTGCGACCGCTGGCGGGTTGACGTTCCTGACGCCAAAAACTCCACCTGCCCCCACCATCACACCATTGGCATCTCCTTAACAAAACCCCTATCTCCGAACGGTGGGTTTCACGCGATAGTCGCAATTGTGGCTTGATTGGAGTCCCTTTTTTTTTTTTTTTTTTTTTTTTTGATTTGAAAAGTACTTTTTTAATTTTGTTTGAATCAAAATAAAAGGTTTATGGCAGTTTGGCGATAGCATTCTCGTGCCGGTCAGAATTCAAAATTGATAATTAAGGGTGCGATTGGAATTCATGAAACCATGGGTGAGAACGTAAATTCGCAAAACCTTGGGTGGGTAGATGCGTTGACTTATTCAGAATTAAAAACGTTAAGATTAGACTAGCCAACTCATTGTTCCTAGGCGCGTCACCGATGAGGCGATAACTACATCGCTGATGAGTCTTTTGGTCAGTTTTTTTATTTATTTATATTAATATATTTTAATAATTTATAAATACATATTTAATAAATAAATAAAAAGACTTTTTCTAACCCCTGATTTAATTTGGTCCAACCAATTAATTTTCTATTGTTAAATGTGATAAAGTTGGGATGGGCCGCCTGGAATAAAAAACCACTCGAGTCATAATCAGTTACGCGACTTCTCATTGCCAAGAATTTTCCGCACATTTGACTCAGATTTTTCTCTGGTTAAAACAAACGAGGTGGAACCTACACGATTTTTTTAGTATGTTACTTAAGAGTTTTTTAATTTAATTTATCTCAATTTCTAATATAGGTGATTATTAAAGGCTTATCTCATCATTAATTTTAGGATCTTATAAAATTAATTAAAGTTCGTATAAACTAGATATGTAAACACATATTCTATATAAGAATAATTTTATGTAATAATAAAAATTATAGTCTCAATTTGAATTAGTTATAATCAATAATAAACTTTATACTGTAATAAGTTATAGTTTTTTTATAATATAATTATCTGTATATTATAAATAATATATTATATTATAACATATATATAGATGTTTATATCATGAATTTGATATGAATTTATTAATTAATTATTAATATAGTATATATTTTATTCTATATTACTTGCATGAAGGATAATGAAGTGAAAACAATAGTTTTTTCCTACAACTCGAGTAAATTATAACATATTCCTATGAATAAAATTAGTTTGGTCATAGTGACTATAGCGGGAGTTTACTTTGACCAATAATGAAGAAGAAGGTTGTATGTAGAGATGTCAATACCAGGTTGTACTCAAGCAGAAGATAAGGGGAAGAGCCTAAGAGAGATGAGAATGAAAATGGCTTCCTTGAAATTCTTCATCTTCTTTCTTGTTCTCTATGTCGTAAGTTTTGTTATCGGTTTAACAAGTGCGGCTGATCCAACATATCTTTACCATTCTTGCCCAAACACGACAACTTTTAACAGTAATAGCACCTATAAATCTAACCTCAATTTTCTCCTCTCTTCAATTGTCTCAAACGCCACCCGCAGCAATGGATTCTCCGCCGGTTTCTACAACGTCACCGCAGGCCAAGAACCTGACAAGGTCTACGCTCTCTTTCTTTGCCGAGGTGATGTCACACCCACCACCTGTCAAGGCTGTGTCAACTTCGCTACCTCAGACATTCTCCGACGTTGTCCTGTTGAAGCAGAAAGTATAATATGGTACGACGAGTGCCTTTTACGCTACTCAGGCGCGTCTATCTTTTCTACCATGGCTAGTAGCCCCAGTATTATTATGTACAACCTTAATAATGTTACAGAACAAGCCCGGTTTAACCAGCTAGTAGGGACTACAATGATGGCAGCAGCAAATGAATCTGTTGATTCCCCTAAAAAATTTTCGACAAGAAAGGCTAACTTTACGGCCTTTCAAATACTGTACTGTCTTGTACAGTGCACACCAGACCTGTCAGATCTTGACTGTAACAGTTGTCTTCAACAATCTTTTGCTAATTTGCGGACTACCCAGGTAGGAGCAAGAGTTTTGCTTCCAAGTTGTAATAGCCGGTTTGAATTGTACCCGTTTTATAATGAAAACGCTACTGCCGCACCGCCGCCGCCGCCTGTGCTCTCTTCTCCACCTCCTGTTTCTGTAACAAGGCCTAAAGGTAAAGTTGAACTAACCCACTTTGAATTCTTTTCATATCTATTTTTGAGTTTACTGTAAAAATTGAAGCTCTTTAGAAGAACCGAGTAAATCTGAACACTGGTGTACAAAATAAAAGTGTTACCGTTCTTGCAGAAAGAAGCCGAATTTCATCTTCAATAATCATCGCCATCGTTGCTCCAATTGTTGTAGCTGTAGCACTTTTCATAGCCGGCTCTTGCTTCCTAATTAGGAGAGCAAGAAAGAAGAATAGTCCTCCACTAGAAGATAAGGGTAAATCTTTAAAAAGTTATTCTATCAACAATCCAAACAATCTTTTACTTTCCCATTTGTCTGTGCTCTAGAAATGTTATTGTTGCAATCTTTCGGATGATTAAATTATTTAATGTCTGGCTGTGCCTTTGTAGCTGGAAATGATGACATTTCAGCTGCAGAGTCCTTGCAATTTGATTTGGGGACAATTGAAGCAGCCACAAAAAATTTCTCAACTGATAACAAGTTGGGCGAAGGTGGATTTGGTGAAGTTTACAAAGTGCGTACAGCATTCCTGTTGCATTTATTTAGACACAGTTGGTTCAAATCTAACGTTTTATTGATAACATTCTCAGGGCATACTTCCTAATGGACAAGCTATAGCAGTAAAAAGGCTATCAAGCAGCTCTGCGCAAGGTGCAGAAGAATTTAAGAATGAGGTTTTATTGGTAGCCAAGCTTCAACACAGAAATTTGGTTAGACTACTGGGGTTTTGCTTGGAGGGAGAAGAAAAGATTCTTGTCTATGAATTTGTGACGAACAAAAGCCTTGACTACTTTCTATATGGTTTGAACTCTCTCTATGAATTTCAATGATTCATGAGTCCAATATCCTTGTTTTGCATTAGGCCAAATAGATTCTTTTATTCATGCTTTGTAGATGGGCAGATATGCTTCATTATGGATATGAACTCAACTCCTAAATAGTTTAATCTAAGATTTTGATTTTGACATATGCAGACCCTGAAAGACAAGCTGAATTGGATTGGTCAAGACGTTATAAGATAATTGGAGGCATCGCTCGAGGAATGCTTTATCTTCATGAGGATTCTCGATTGAGAATTATACATCGTGATCTTAAAGCTAGCAATATATTGTTAGATGGTGATATGAACCCAAAAATTTCTGATTTTGGCATGGCAAGGATAGTTGGAGTTGATCAAACTCAAGCGAATACAAACAGAATTGTTGGGACATAGTAAGTTTTGACTATTGCTTGCTTTGAGGAAAGCAGTTAAATGAATTCATTTGTCAATTATATAATCCTAACTGTTGAATCATCGCGGAAGAGAAAATATGTCTAATGATAGTTACAAATTTCTCCTTGAAATTCACAACACAAATAGCTCTAGGCATAACATTTGCAGAACCTGTTGGTTAGCTTTAGATATATTAATGTGTAAATTTTTTAGATTAATTTTCAAAGGTTCCTTGTTGTCTTTAATATTAACATAATCTCTGTCGCACAGTGGTTACATGTCTCCAGAATATGCTATGCATGGGCAATTCTCAGTGAAATCCGATGTGTATAGTTTTGGTGTGCTAGTACTAGAGATCATTACCGGCAAAAAGAACAGCAATTTCTATCAAACAGATGGTGCTGAGGATCTTGTGAGCTATGTAAGCAAACTGTATATTGTATTTCCCCTTTGTTAGAGTTAGTATCTTTACATGCAAATAGAGAGTGGAGAAATAAAAGATTTAGAGCTGAAGCTAATTGATTGTGACTAATTTATTGTTTCAGGCTTGGAAACATTGGAGGGATGGGACACCGTTGCAGTTGTTGGATTCAACCTTGACAGATTCTTACTCGAGAAATGAAGTGATTAGATGCATACATATGGGGTTGTTATGTGTCCAGGAAGATCCAGCTGAGAGACCCTCAATGGCAACAATAGTTCTCATGCTTAATAGTTACTCTGTTAGCCTTCCATCACCTCAAAAACCAGCCTTTTTCCTGGGTAGTAGAATGGAGGCTAGCATGGAAATAAAGGAGTTTGACTTTGATCAATCTAAAAGCAAGTCAATTCCATGGTCTGTTGATGATGCATCAATTACAGAAGTATATCCTCGATGATAGGGTGTTTCAGATTTCAATTCACTTGTACAACCAAAAGTGACAAAAATACTTGTTTCTGAATTGTAGTTTGGTGAACTGAAGCATCCTTCATCATATATTGATCCTATATTGGCCAACATTATTCAGGCAGATGTAGCCTGAAATGAAGGAGATCTATGATATAATTTTCATTATGTGCTATCGCCAGCCTTGATGGTATATTGGTATGCCCTGTATAAAACAGAGTTTTCTGAGGAAAGAGTATCAAATAGTTAATTTGTCACTCCTTTCCATTGATTTTTTTATCTGCTGCATTTTGAGTCTTCGAAAAATCAGTACCCTTATATTATACTTGAGTTATTACTCAAATACTTATTTTAAAAAATAAGAAGGGTCCCAGAAATTGAAGGCGGAATTTGCGCATCTTACATCACTTATGTCACTATCCATTAAACGTGTTTCCCCAGATTTGACTCAAATTTTCTGTCCACTTTCGTGGAAATTAATTGGCTTGAATTATCTTTATTGACTTTTGCAGACAAGTCTTCCTGCTAACCCAAATGTACGCAGTGAACAATTTTTTAACAGAAGTTTCTAGTTCATCTTGACAAGCTGGGTTCAAGGAGGCGGTGACTCAGTCAATGCCTCAGTTTTCACAATTTCATTCAAAGAAACTATCTATAAATACTGGTGTGCTGAAAGTCTGAAACATTAGAGTTGGCCCAACGGCAGTGCAAACAGCCTTGTTAATAACTTGGTCAGGATCAATTCTTCAAACATATTTATGCACATAAGTTACAACTGTTGCAAAAGAAAACAGGCATTCCAGATTCAAGGAGTTATTTGTTCACTTATGAATGCATTCACAAATTGGTGCATTGAACTAGGCAACAGTTCCTAAGTGTTAAAGCTTTGCTGTACATGAGTTTGATAAAATAAAAAGACTGCATCAGTATCAAAATTGTTACATTAATTTGGTAAAGATTAGCAACTTGATAAACAATTTAAATATGGAACATTGAACATATTATTTGATGTGTATGGCATATATATGTTCACATTCATGTTGTTTCTGTCCTAGAAAAAAATCGAGCCTTTTGTTTTACGACCGTCTGTGATCTTATGCATTCTCGAAGCCGAATATACGGAAAACACCTGAAACAAGATGAAACTTAGCATATAACCAGAAGTTCTGAAAACTTCTGTATTGTCAACAAGATGGAAATATTTCTGGTACTACGATTACGAATTTCGATTTTGCTAACACCCCTTGCCCTCTTAGTATTAAGAGAATCAAGATTTTTATTCCTAGTCTAAGAACACTGGTTATTCGTCGTCCAAACCTCATATGTCACTTATTTGGTGAGTGTGTTATAACAATTTATGCAGAAAATTTGATGGTTCTCCAGTGCATAAATTGTCTAAAAAGTGAAATTTTACCTCGTGATTTATCTTCACTGAGTAGGGTTCTTGTCGAGAACTCCTTTTCTAAAGTTATTTAATAAGCTGTTGAATTGGCATTTAATAGCCAACTACTGCAATAAAGAAAGAAACTTCCAGTTCCAGATTCATTTGCTCACCAGAAATGCATTCAAAAATTGGTGCATTGAACTAAGCAACTGTTCTTGAGTGTTGAAACGTACAAAAGGGAAGTTATGTCACAAAAGAGATTGCATCAATATCACCAATGTTACTTTCTCTCACACAAGTAAAGCACAAACAAATTGTTACAACAATTTCGTAAAAATTAGCAACTAGATAAACGACTTAAACATAATTGGAACATTGAACATATCATTGGATATGTATGGCATACATATGTTCACATCCTGTAATTTTGAGCATTCTCAAAGAGAGCATGTATTGAGATATGGTTTCTTCCTTCTTGAAAAATGTCGAGCCTTTGTTTTGCAACTGTTATGCATTCTCAAAGCCAAATATTCGGAAAACACCTAAAAACAAGAAACAGATAAGAACAAGAAAGGAATCTAATTAACAATTTAAAAATAATCCATCAATTTTTTTAACCTTCATCAGCTTGATATTTGTTCTTGTCGTCCCCAGCATATGCAAGTAGATTGTACTTGGGATTCCATTCCACACTATTCATGGCAGCACGGCATGGAATTTGATGCACCGTTCGACCAGTGTGTACATTTGACTGATTAACAAGGCAATAATGTTGTTACTACCATGTTGTAGAAAAGAAATACATGAGTGAATAGAACAATTTTGGAAAAAGAATGGTTCAGAAAGTGAACTTTTTTCAATAATTAGGTAAAATCAATTAACAGACATACACTATAAAAAGTTTTCTTGCTTTTCTCATGAGAGGGAAAAAGTTTCCTAGAAAAAGAAAAGCCAATAAATTAGATAGAGACATACTATATCTATGAATAAATCTTCACTGGCAGAAGCAATATAATCTCCCGTGTGATTGAAGCTTATGGTCCTGACAGGCCATCTGCAAGAGCAAAACAAAGATTTCATAGGTAGAGTGCAATTTGTAGAATTTAAACTTCTTACTAGAGACAGACAATATATCAAAAAGGAAATAAAATAATGGGGAACCATCAGTCAAAACTCACTCAAGTTTTGTGAATGTACGGACGCAGAGCATCTCTGAGATATCCCAAAGGCTGACTAAGGAATCAGCACTTCCAACAGCAAAATATCTGTTGCAACACAAAGAATTAAGAATAGTTTAAGATCTTGATTTCTTGAATGATACAACCTCAGCCCCACTAAACTACCTTATAATAAAAAGATAGAATCAAAAGTTACATAGAAATATATTTCAGTAAGTTCATGCATGATTGGGTCACGTGAATAGTATGCAGATAATGTAGACAGCTTGAAAACACACCTTCCCATTGGATCAATCGCGATGCAATAGCAACCGGCTGTATGAGCCATGACAGTGTCAAGAGGTCGAAGAGATGGGTATGATAACACTTCAACAGTACCTGAGCGGAATAAATACAATCAACAAAAATATGTTCATTAATTTAGTGAAAGCACTGCAGTACTGAAAATTAAGTAAAACAAATAATAATAAACCATATATTTGTAGCATCTAAACAAAAGCAATTCCCAGCCCAGAAATTTGTTCTCACCATTTCCAGTAGTCAAAAAGAACATTTCTCCTGTCATGTTCCAAGCAATCTCATTTACCTGGAGACAAGAAAAAGAAAACTATTAAGAAATTGAAGGAAGCCACACAATGTGATATGGGTAAACTGAAACAAGCGGTATTCATCTAAATTCATGATTACCTCATAACCAAACTTACGCCTATGAATTGGCTTGAATTTCCGAACATCCAATATTGTTAATTCATCATTCTGCAGAAATAAAGAAGAAACATGTTGCATACTTTATAAGCATGGTGAAAGGAGCTTCCAACAACTGGATGATCCAATGGATACTAAAAACTAGTATTATCTGAAATTCAAAGACTATGAACATAATCCCAAACACATGGAGCTTTTTCTAAGAGATGAGAATGTAAGGCATACCCTATTACCAACAGCAACGTGTGTCCCATCAGGTTTATAAGTTATGTTGATGTTCTCACCACTAAGTTCAGCCTGCTGTGAGCATTTTCCACCTGCAGAACCCAAAGTAGACATACTTAACCATTTAATTTTTTTATGAGAAGGAAAGATTGGGAAAATTTTCTTATTATCTCCATTGATTAGCCATTCTTTAAGGTGGTATTTTGAGGTATCAAAAAACATGATTAATTGTTCTACAAATAAAATCATCAGTTAACTTTCACTAGTGATATTTACAAACTCTAGATCTTTCCAACATCAGAAAACGAAAATGCTCTCATCAATTTATGGGGCAACAACTGATGACTTTCAAATACAAGATAAAGTAAAAATTTATCTAACCTCTTACTCGACTAACAACTTAAATTCAGCTGTGTGATCCTTAATATTTTAATTTTATTAATAGAAGATGTTAAAGTGAGAATGCATTCACTTACTTCGAACATCCCACAAACGTACAGTCTTGTCACCTGAAGCAGTGGCAATCAAATCAGCATGTTTTGGGTCCCAACATAACTGATCCACACTATCAGCATGCCCCTTCAATTCAATATCTTTAACTTTCCCCTGCAACAAACATCTTCAAAAGATCAATACCAATGCCAACAATGACTCACTTACAACTTATAATTCCAAAAATTTCTCTCATTCACCTCAAAATTTCAGTGCAAACACATAACAAAACCACAAAAACAACCACCTTCAAGCTAGGACAATCCTAGAAGATAACAATGTTTTTCCATCCAACAACAATTTCCCAGAAAACTCACCAAAGTTCCGTACTACAAATAAAATTCCAACATCTAGTATTATTAAATTTTTTTCCAAAACATTAAAAAAAAAATAAATAGCTTTACATGATGACCCTGGGGCTCAATGTGCCAAACTCGAGCTGTTTGATCAACTGAACCCGATGCAAGCTTTGTGCCCGTACAATTCCAAGCCACAGAGTGAACCTATCAGCAAAACCCACGACAAAATAAGATTAAGAGCACGTTTAGTTAAGTAAAAAATTGAAATACAGAGTGTGAAGTAATTAGAAAAAAAAAAAAAAAAGACCTTCTTTTTGTGGCCCGTGTATTCCCTGCTGTGGAGGTTCTTGAAGGGTATAGTTTCTCCCATCAGAGCGATCGTTACGATTTTCTCGGCAAAAAAACAGAGCAACAGAATGGGAGTTGGGTAACTAACGGGGGCGTGAGAATAAGACTGTGAGTGTTGGTAAAAGCTACGTCGTTTTGGTGAAACATATAGTAGCATACACTCGCATGCACTAGATATTTTTCCTATAATTACCAAAAATTTTTTACCTAAAATGAGTTTTAAATAAAGATAGATTGAAAATAAAAAATTAATAAGAACTGTTTGTGAGGATAATATTATTAAATTAGTTTTTCTTATATAATTAATGTGATTAATTAAATATCATAATTAACAAAATTAACTATAATATTATAATATCACATACATGGATTATTTTGAATGTCCATATTCCTATGACAGTAATTTACTTTATATTTACATGAAAAAGTCTTATGTAAAATAGACGTATTAGGTCATTTATATGTTTTGGAGAGTCTAAATTTAGATAAATATATCATATTATCTATGTGTTTAAAAACTATTAGATGAAGAGAAATATTACCTCATCTAAATATTCTTAGAAAGTCTTGAATGGGGCTAACATATTATGTTATTTATATAATTTTAGAAAAATCTCACGCGAAATACACTATTATGTTACATTTTTTTAACTCTTAAAAAGAGACAAATATACCACTTCATTTAAACATCAATCTTAATAAACTGTTGATGCGAAAAATTGCACCAATCAGAGGTATGTGATTAACAATGCCAGAACACGTAAAATGAGTGTGTAACCCTAATGGATTAGTGATAGATGTGATGATGAATGCGTGACAATAATCGTAAAATAACAAGGAGCAAAAAAAACTTTTTAAAGTGGTTCGGCTGCCTGAAATACAAAACCTATATCCACTGTTATGTTATTAAGTGCTTTAACGAGTTAAGTTCTAATGAGTTATTTTGAATTATAAAGAGTTATCTCAACGAGTTTTTTCTCTATTCTCAATCTCTATCTCTTGAATCTCAGTCTCTATTATAATTAGGTTTATATAATACCCGTTATAAGATTAAATTAAAAATAAACTCAAACCGAAAAATAGGGAGATCTTCAACTTTAATGATAAAATCTATACCATAAGAAATAATCCGTTTTGGATTCATCGCTCAACATAAACAATCAACGAAAATAAAAGAAAAATTATTAGACTCCGTCATCAAATTTCTCGTTTATTTCAATATATGGATATAAATGACGCGACAAATTTAACACAAAATCAACCATATAATAAATATTATTGTCAGTTCAAAAAAAAAAAAAAAAAAAAAAGGGACCAGTCATAATTAATCAGGAGCGAATAGTAAAAGTGAAAAAAAAAAAAAATGGAGGTATAAAAATAAAAAAATTTGCACCGACGCCTAAGGTAGAGAGGTAGATACAGATTACACAGGGAGAGAGAGTGTCTGGTCGGGATCATCCCACCAAACACCACATCTCTTTACAACACAAATTCAATCACACCTCTAATCTCATCCTTACCTGTACACCTCATCTTCAGCCTTCTGATCTCATCGATCGTTTCATCACAAACAATCAATCTCTCGATCAAAGATGACTTCCTCCGGTGGTGGCCGCTTCATGGCCTACTCTCCTTCACCTTCAGCTCCTCACTCTCCTCATATCCCCTCTCTCCGCTCGGCCGCCGCCGCCGCCGCTTCCGCCGCTCTCCTCGATCAAGAAAAGTACGATCTCACTCTCCTTCGATCTTATCTTTTGTTTTTACACTTGTTTGTGTTTATGTCGTGTTGATGCTTTGCTGTATCGACTGAATACTTGTGCTGACTAACAGATAGTTGAATTTTACTACTGGATTGTTATGAGATCTGACGTTGTTTCGATCTTTGATTTTGTATGTGTTTGTGTTGTTGCTGTTACTGAGTTTACTGAATACTTTTACTGACTTGCAGAGAGTTGCATTTCGCACGTGTTAAAAGAGATTTAATTAGCAGATTATGAGATCTGATGTTGTTTTGATCTTTAATATTATACCTGTTTGTGTTGTTACTGTTACTGAATACTTGTACTGACTAACAGATAGTTGAATTTTTCACGTGTTCAATTAGATTTAATTAGTATATTATGAGATCTGGTGTTGTTTTGATCTTCAAATTTATATGTGTTTGTGTTTTGTTCATGTCAGATTGTTAATGTTACTTGATACTAAGTAACTAAGGCCTAGGTGAAGAACTGTGATTTTTGCCTTTTCTTTTGCTCATGTTAAATTAGATTACAAGATCTGATGTTGTTTAGATCGTAAATTTTATATGTTCATGTTGTGTTATAGTACTATTAACTAACTTCTTTTAAGTAGAGATAGTTGAATTTCTCTCTTGTTTCTTTTTCAAATATTTTTTTTTTTCCTTTTTTTGCTTGTAGTTTGATTTAATTATTAGATTATAAGATCTGATCCTGTTTTGATGTTGAATTTTATGTGTATTTATGTTGTTTTCGTTAGTGTTACTGACCAGCGAACTGTTTTTAGTATTTTTGCAATTTTTGTGTGTATTGAAGTAGATTAATTATTAGATTATAAGGCCTGATGTGTTTATGAAAGGATTGTGTTGTGTTTTAAGTAGGTTTTAGGTAGTTAATTGTCATATAGAGTGAATAATAGTTAATTGAATGAGATTGTAGATGGTTGCCATGGTTGGTAGTGAAGAATTGTGTAAATGTAGATCCGTCACCTTCCTAGTTTGTTTTATTAGTGCTAATGGTTGTTGGATTGTGACGTTTAAGATGCATGGCACTGTGGAAATTAATGAAGTGGCCTAACTTTTATCGTAGTAATAGTTGGTGATGTATTATTTTATTAGATGTTTGTTTTACTTTTAAAATTAAATGGCTATATTGTATTTTAAATAATTTTTAGATGTTTAATTGTGAGTTAGATTGAATATTGTTTAGTTGATCGTGAAGTGTTGTATATATCATTTCTTGTAGTTTCGACACCTTCCATGTTTATGTTGTATGTGCTAATGGTTGTTGGGGTGGTAATTTTTAAGTTGTGTTGCATAGTGGAAATTAATGAAGTGATCTAGCATTTACTATAACGACATAAGTAGCTGTGAGCATCTCAGTATTCGAGTACACTTAGGTGTTTGTATTTAAGTTGCTATTAGTAACTTACTATACTTGGTTAAATTTTGTTTGTTGCAGATATCTCAACGAACTTCTAGCTGAGCGTCACAAGCTGAACCCATTCTTGCCTGTACTCCCACATACCTATCGGTTGTTGAGCCAGGGTCAGTTTTCGAAACCTCTATTTTATTCCCGTAAAAGGGTTGACAGCAGGAATAATATTCAAAGCCTCTATGTTACTTTATGTTTCTATTTATTTATTTGTTTATCTTTGTCATTTTATAAGGAATGGAAGGAAAAAGGTTGGGATCGACTATCTGCATGCCATGTAAATAGCTGCTTAGTTATCGACATAAACCTACCACTTGTTAACCTACATTAAAGGAGTTAGGGATAGTTGACTCTGTATTGGAAAAATATCTTGAAATCCTAATCTAGATTTTCCCTTTTTATGCCGTCATCTTAGCAATTTTAATGGTTCTACCTCTTTTGGCTAGAAGAAGAGATGGATACATGTATTTGGTTGACACCAAGAGGGAGGGCACTTGATGCAGCCTTTCATAATCTGAGTCTGAAGACGATGTTAGAGAACCAAGAGAACTTCCAAGTAATCTTGAATGTGGGAAGAGAGAGAGATTGAATGGAGATGGAAATGGGGGGGTGGTGGTGGTGGTGGGTGAAGTCTAATTCTAGATACCTACACATCATGGTAAATATTAAGGACAACATGTTTCAAGACTGACAAATATAACAAAATATAAAATCAAACAAACCATTTAAAATAACTGCTCTACTTATCTGATACTGTTACTACTTCAGCCATTTAAAGTGGTTGGACTAAGGCTTTGCTAGGTTGAGTGAAATACGTGGCCTACTGCATTTCTAGAGCTTTAAATTTGGTATGTCTAGATGGAAAACTTCTAGCCAAAAGGGGTGGAACCTTACAGAAAAGCCTTGCATGTCTCATTGAATGACTGCTTTTTATTTACTCTATATTGTACAAACATCTTGTGTAAGTGCCAACTTTTAGTTATGAGTTTCTTACTGTACTATTTGTTTGTACACAAACTGTTATCACAGTTGAGATGCTGATTTTTGGTTTTTCTTACTTACATCTGTTTGTGAATCTAACTAATTATTTACTTTACTCACTGTTTCTGATTCAAAAACATTTTCCCATAGCGTGCATAACTGTGTCTATATATTAGCCTTAACATGAGAATAGTATTGTATGTGTTCCTCTTTCCTTTAACATTAGATTTATTTTATGGGGGAAACTTTATTTTTAACTAACTCAATTAACATTCCCCTGTTGTCTCTCCATTTTGTGGTGACTGCTAACTAATTTGTTAACAAATGCTAACTGGTACATCTTATTCTTGAAAATTGACATTTTTGGAGCAGAAATTATGCGTGTAACCACACTGTTGGGGAATGCATCAGTTTTAGGTCAAAGTGGGCTTGAACATGCTAGCCCCCTCGCCTCTGGAGGAATATTTTCAAATGGAGGAGCCGATATGAACGGATTGGCATCACGGTTTCAATCAGAAGTACGGATACTAACCATTAACATAACTGTCTTTCCATCTAATTTTACTGTCTTTTAGAAGCATTGCTGACACAATTTTTACATTTCATGCTAACATAACTTTTCTGTGAGTTCTTGTAGTACAAATGCTACTTTTTCTATGACAGGTAGTCTTGAGGCTAACATCAAGCAGCACTGAACATATCATTTAGCTTAGCATCCTGTTCTGGAATCTGACCTCTAATTAGCGGTTCTCCATTGCCTTTTGGTTGTCCATTGAAAATGACACCCAGCAGTTGACGTTTTTAAGAATAACTTATGGAATGAAAATTCAGATCTTGATAGGATGATAACAATACATGCCGAGTCTTCAGCGAGATATCATCCAACTATGAATCCTTCGACAACAAGAGTTTTGTTATTCTAGTGTAGATTACTGACTCTTAAATTATTAAATTGTTGTCTTGTAATAGGATGCTTTCCATGAGTTTTGGGTTTCATGAAAATGCTTATCTGAAGTGCAGCTGGACCTGCTGGCTGGTCAAATGACCTTCAAGTTGGTTGTTTAGTTTTTGGTAGTTGACTAATGCATTGGAAAGTTTTTGTCATTCTGGCTTCAGATTTGGAGCCCTTGAGCTCCATGGTCTTCTATGGATCTGCTTAAATGTATTGTAACAATTTGGGCTTCTAATTGTTATATCTTTTAAGGTACACTTAGTTGCTTCAGTGTATATTTTTGTCTTCAATGTCCTGAGTTGATGCAGCTTGATACTGAAATGGCTATGGGAATCACTGGAGGCCATCAATTGAACCAGTCTTTATATTTTCCTCATGCATGCAATCCAACACGAGACTATTGAATTAATCTGTTACTGCATGTTGTAATGATGTCTGGGATGACATTGTGCAGATTTCCAGTTTAGTGCAGCCCACATCAGCACAAAATTGGCTTAGTTCACAAGGTAGCTCATCAGGTCTTATTGTTAAGAGGACAATCAGAGTGGATATTCCAGTTGACCAATTTCCTAGTGTATGATTGAACTTGCTCTGTTGTGATTTTGCCTTTTTTATCTGGCAGTTGCCTGTAATATTTTAATTTTGCAGTACAACTTTGTTGGACGCCTCCTTGGTCCTAGGGGCAACTCTCTTAAGCGAGTGGAAGCCAGTACAGAATGCCGTGTTCTGATCAGAGGGCGTGGTAGTATTAAGGATCCAGCAAGGGTATGGGTAATAATGAATTCTTCTTTTCTCATTTTCCACGTCTGTATGTTTCTGAATTGGATCCAACCAGAAAGATCTTGTTTTTTGTTGTTGAACTTCTTTCTGAATTGAAAAATCATTATCCTCTTTATTTTCTCATGTTTGTCACCTCATTCTCATTTTAAAGGAAGAAATGATGAGAGGAAAACCTGGTTATGAGCATCTGAATGAACCTCTTCATATCCTGGTTGAGGCAGAACTACCAGTCGAAATAGTTGATGCTCGCCTAATGCAAGCACGTGAGATACTAGAAGACTTGCTGAAGCCTGTGGTGAGCAGCCTTCTTTCATGTCTCCCTTTGAAGAATTGTGTTCTCTGTTTTACTTCTTTCTTGGGTATAGTGCTTACTTATTTTATCCCAATCTTTATTTAGGACGAAACCCATGATTTCTATAAGAAACAACAACTGAGAGAGCTAGCAATGCTCAATGGTACACTTCGTGAGGAAGGTTCTCCCATGTCGGGTTCGGTGTCTCCCTTCCACAACAGCCTCGGCATGAAGAGAGCTAAGACTAGGGGGTAATGGTTCTCAATCAATGGGCTTTTGGAGCTTCCACATTAGTGTCTGCTAGTAAACAGCAGTTCCCACATCACAGTTGTTGCTGTGTCAGACAATCCCTCCAACTGCCATCGGGGCACTGGCGCTATATATATATATATATATATATACTGTGCTAGTTCTAACTTATTTCTCTATGAAGTGTGTTTATCCTCTGTCCGGAGGTGGTTTAGTGACAGTCAGTAATGTGTAGTAAGAGATGAGTTCTGGGGGTTTGCATTTATATGTTGGTTGAGGCAATCGGTGAGAGCATTATCTCGCTGATGCCATTCCTGTATTATTATTAGGCCATATTATTTATAAGCTTGTAATGACAGTTTTGATGCGTTGATGTGAGGGGTTAAGGTATCTCGTTTCTACACAAAATGTGAAGCGAGCAAGCGGTGGTAGTTTGGGTTGAGTGTTATGTAGTAGGTAGTTTAGATGGTATTTAGATTTGTTAATGGCAGTCTCTGCCATCTCTATTGTGAATGCATTTGCTCTATTCCCCTTCTTCCTATCATTCAATTTTCAGCACTTATCTTTTCTGCATATTATAGAGGATTGGTATTATGGCAATGGATGGCATGGTTTATATATTTGATATTAGAAATGTTATTACTTGTTTCTGTAAAACAAAGAAAGCCTTATATAGTTGTTCTAAGGGGTTTGGACTAGATAAAAGCCATCTTACAGATTATTATTTATTTTCTTAATTAAAAAAAAATGTTTTTTAATCTATAACATGTGAAATTATGTTAGATGATAATAAGCTCAAATAAAATTATGACTTATGATCAAAGTTTTTCAATCCAATTGGCTCAAATGGTTTGAGAATTAGAATTGGCGTGAGGGTATATACTCTATATAGTCCCGCGACCTTATCTGGATCGTGCGGCGTGCATAAAAAGTAAAAACGAGATTGATCACTAAGTAAGCTTTGAAAAAGTCTCACAGAACACAAACAAAACGAATAAAGATAGAGAGAAAACTTTATTACATAAAACCTTTTCATAATTATAGCCATGGGATCAAACAAATTTATTACTGTAAAGAGGTTATAATTTAATAAAAGTATAATTATAAAAANTATTTCTGCATATTATAGAGGATTGGTATTATGGCAATGGATGGCATGGTTTATATATTTGATATTATAAATGTTATTACTTGTTTCTGTAAAACAAAGAAAGCCTTATATAGTTGTTCTAAGGGGTTTGGACTAGATAAAAGCCATCTTACAGATTATTATTTATTTTCTTAATTAAAAAAAAATGTTTTTTAATCTATAACATGTGAAATTATGTTAGATGATAATAAGCTCAAATAAAATTATGACTTATGATCAAAGTTTTTCAATCCAATTGGCTCAAATGGTTTGAGAATTAGAATTGGCGTGAGGGTATATACTCTATATAGTCCCGCGACCTTATCTGGATCGTGCGGCGTGCATAAAAAGTAAAAACGAGATTGATCACTAAGTAAGCTTTGAAAAAGTCTCACAGAACACAAACAAAACGAATAAAGATAGAGAGAAAACTTTATTACATAAAACCTTTTCATAATTATAGCCATGGGATCAAACAAATTTATTACTGTAAAGAGGTTATAATTTAATAAAAGTATAATTATAAAAATTACTGTTTCAATTTCTTATTTTATAAATTAAAATTTAGTAGTATCTATTGTGATTTTAATTCATTATTTTAGTAGTGATTGCTGCAATTAGATGATAAGATAAAAGAAATAACTCTGAGAATGATAGTGAGAAAATACAAAAAGTTTCGTATCATGAAATTCTAAACATACTTAAGAAGCTAGAAATATTATGGCTTCAACAAGGTGTGCTAGTGAATTATTATGAACTTGCAAGTTAAAAGATGTGGTAACAACTTTAAAATATAAATCATTATCACAAACAACTTTAGATAAATATTTTGTTTCATCTCAAACTTTTAATGTAATATATATATATGACAATTTTTTTAAGACGAGAATTACAAAAATTATAATTTATTATAATGTGAAGTTTATTCTTATTTATAGCTATTCCAAATTGAGACTGTAATTTTTTATGACTCTATAAAGGTTATTGCTCAACTAAGACTTGTTAGCTTTAACCCGAAGAATGGAGATGAAGAGAAAACTCAATTGCTCCCACTTAATTTAATGGAATCTTAATTCAATTATATTGTCTTTTTGGTAAAAAAATATTTCAAAAGCTTCTAGAAATATTCTCTTACTAACAAAGATAGACCGAGAAACGAATCTCATAAACTTTCTTTCATAACTCTAATGTGATAAGTGATTTTTATTTTTCGATGAAGTTTTCTGCATGCTGACATTGCCTAGGAGTGTGGTGAGATTACTAACTTAGATTTGTTAGAGAAAGTTTGTGAGATTTATTTTTCGGTCTAATATTGTTATTTCCTAATATATTCTTTGATGGTGGGTTGGCTCAAGCCGATATTGATCTCTTATGGACTTGGGCTTGGCTGGACGTGTCTATAGAAATCACTCGTGTTTTTTTAAATGTTCTGGCTGGCCCTCTTCTGAAGCTTATTTGATTAAGTTCTACTAGTTAACTCCCGTAAAAGTCAAGAACGCGTAGATGCATCTCCACTGAAGTTTCCTTGCACCTCATCCCAATAGCACTTCTTGATGAAAGTGCAGTAATTTCTGTATTANTCAGCACTTATTATTTCTGCATATTATAGAGGATTGGTATTATGGCAATGGATGGCATGGTTTATATATTTGATATTAGAAATGTTATTACTTGTTTCTGTAAAACAAAGAAAGCCTTATATAGTTGTTCTAAGGGGTTTGGACTAGATAAAAGCCATCTTACAGATTATTATTTATATTTTAATGAAAAAAAATGTTTTTTAATATATAACATGTGAAATTATGTTAGATGATAATAAGCTCAAATAAAATTATGACTTATTAACAAGTTGTTCAATCTGATTGGCTCAAATAGTTTGAGAATTAGAATTGGCGTGAGGGGCATATAGTGCCACGACTTTATTTGGATCGTGCGGCGTGCATAAAAACGAGATCGATCACTGAAAGGGTCTGACAAAACACAAACAAGACGAATAAAGAGGGAGTGAAAACTCTATTAAGGTCCGATCTCTAAATAATCATAATAACGAGATCAAACTAATTTATTATGATGCAGAGATTATAATTTAATAAAAATATAGTTATAAAAATTAGTATTTTAATTTCTTATTTTATAAATTAAATTTTAGTAATATGTATTAAGATTTTAATTTATTATTTTAGTAGTCATTACTGTAATTAGACAATAAAAAAAAAATGATAATAATTCTAAGGATGATAGTGGAGAAATACAAAAAATTTCGTGTCAAGAAACTCTAAACATACTTGAGAAGCTAGAAATATTATGACTTCAACAAGGTATCCATGTTAGTGAGTTATTACGAATTTACAAGTTAAAAGATGTGGTAACAACTCTAAAGTATAAATCATTTTCATAAGCAACTTTATATAAATATTTTATTTTATCTTAAACTCTTACTGTAATATATATATATTTTTTCTAATATGCATATAATTATTACTATATGAGATAATTTTCTTAAAAAGGGAACTAAAAAAATTATAATATATTAGAATGTGGAATTTATTCTTACTTATAACTATCCCAAGTTGAGACTAGAATTTTTTATGACTTTATAAAGATTATTGCTCTAATAAGATTAGTTAGGTTTAACACCAAGAATGGAGATGAAGAGATAACTCTATTGCTCCCACTTAATTTTATGGAATCTTAATCCAGTTATATTGTCTTTTTGGTAAAAGAATATTTCAAAAGCTTCTAGCATATTCTCTGACTAACAAACATAGGTTAACAAACGAATCTCATAAACTTTCTATGTGATAAGTGATTTTTATTTTCTGATAAATTTTTCCGCATGCTAACATTGCTTAGAAGTGTGGTGAGAGTACCAAATTGGATTTGTTCGAGAAAGTTTATGAGATTTGTTTATCAGTATAGTATTGCTCTTTGAGTAATGCTATAGTCATTGAATGATGTGCACTGAATAACGTGACGTAATCTTGACCGTCGATTCATTATAAGTTAATTTTAATCAAATTTTATCATATCATTTGGTGTATGGATTTGGGGTACAATTTTGGATAACTCTGTCATTTTCCTATATTCTTTGATGGTGGGTTGGCTCAAGCCGACATTGATCTCTTATGAACTTGGGCTTGGCTGGACGTGTCTATAGAAATCAACCTTGTTTTTTTAAATGTTCTGGTCCTCTTCTGAGGCTTATTTGATTAAATTAAGTTCTACTAATTAACTCCCGTAAAAGTCAAGAACGCGTAGGTGCATCTCCACTGAAGTTTCCTTGCACCTCATCCCAATAGCACTTCTTGATGAAAGTGCAGTAATTTCTGTACTACCGGTTTCTTCGTTTACTGCTTTTGATTTTCCGGCATTCTGACTCAACACTCCACACGCTTCTCTCTCAAAACTCTTGATTACTCGGAGGAAGTAATCACGTTTCTCCTACAACTCTCTCAATCTCTCTAGCTACTCTCAATTACTTCTCATAGTCTTCGGCGCTCTTACCGACTACCTCAATTTCCACTACTCTTCTTTTCTCAGTGTTCAGGTAAGCAGAATACTGCAAGTTTACCCTTTTTTTTATTTTTAAATTTGATCGTTGATGCATTATTTTCATATTTACATTTTGATGAATGTTTATCAGCATCTTAATGCCGTTTTGTAATTTTAATTATTAATTTAAACTTCGATACGAATCTATTATATATCTTGAGGGAGGATGATTTTTGCAAAATTACCTGGGTTTATGCCATAATTAAATTAAACAGATTATATTTTTCATGAATACTTAGTTGAAATTAGTAGTTGTTGTCAGAAGGCTCTGGAACTCTTTAATTATGATATATATATATATATTGAACATCATTCTCTTTGAGGTAATTTAGCTTTTTCATTTCTTTTCTTTGGATAGACTAGACCAAAGCCATGCCTGTGGGAGAGGTCTTTCTCTCTGCGGCCCTTCAGGTGCTGTTTGACAGATTGGTGCGCGGTGGGCTGCGGTTTGCACTTCAAGAGGGCGTACGTTCGAAGATAGGAAAGTGGGAGCAAAAGTTGAAGATGATTGGGGCAGTGCTCAGTGATGCAGAGGAGAAGCAACTGACGGAGAAAGCTGTGAAAATGTGGCTGGAAGATTTACAAGACTTGGCTTATGATGTTGAGGACATTCTGGATGAATTTGCAACTGAAGCTTTTCGGTGCAGATTAATAGCAGATCGTCTTCCTTGCTCTGTCCCAACTTGTTTCACTTCCTTGAGCCCAACTGCTATTAAGTTCAAAGTGAGTATGAGGTCCAAGATAAAAGATATCGACATTAGGTTGGAAGAACTGAGTAAAACAAAAGATCAGCTTGGGTTGATCAAAGCAAATTGTGCAGGCCTATCAACTGCTGCAGTCTCAAGACCAACTGATACGACTTCACTAACCAAATCTTCTTTTTTTGGTAGAGATGATGATAAAGCTAAAATACTTGAAATGCTGTTAAGGGATAAACCAATTGATGACAAGTGTCATGTGATAGCCATTGTTGGCATGGGAGGAATTGGCAAAACAACACTTGCTCAGGAGGTGTACAATCACGAAGCGGTGGAAGATTTCAACCTAAAAGCATGGATTTATGTTTCTGACGACTTTGATGTTTTGAGAATCTCAAAAGCAATTTTTGAGTCAATTACTCGCTCCTCCTGCAATCTGACTAATTTAGATACTATCCAGGCTGAATTGAGAGAGCTTGTACGAGACAGAAAATTCTTACTTGTCTTAGATGACGTTTGGAGTGCGGGTTATGACAAGTGGGAATCCTTGAAATCTCCTTTTATCGCTGGAGCACAAAAGGGTAGGATAATTGTGACAGCACGTGACCTTAAAGTTGCATCAAGGATCCCTGGATCCACCAAAATTCATGAATTAGCACTCCTAGCAGACCGGGATTGTTGGTCCGTGTTCATTGAGCATGCATTCAAGCATATAATTACTGATGCAGATTCAAATCTGATGTCAGTTCGTGAGAAAGTTATTGCAAAGTGTGGAGGCTTGCCCTTAGCTGCAAAAACTCTTGGTGGCCTGCTCTCTCGTCAAAGGGAGAACGAGTGGGAAGAGATACTGAACAAAGAAATCTGGAATGAATCATATGAAAATGATGAAATTCTGCCCGTATTAAGATTAAGCTATTACCATCTTCCTTGGCATTTAAAAAGGTGCTTTGCTTATTGTGCTATTTTTCCAAAGAACTTTGACTTCGTGGAGAAACAACTTGTGTCTTTATGGATGACAGAAGGTCTTATTCAGGCAACAGAAAACAATAAACAATTGGAAGAAATAGGTGGTGAGTATTTTCGAGATCTATTGTCAATATCCCTTTTTCAAAAGTCAAGTAGAGATAACACTAAATTTGCGATGCATGATCTGGTCCATGATCTAACCCAATGGGTTAGTAAAAGGACATATTTAGAGTTGAAAGATGAATTGGGATCCCAGGAGCAATACATCAGAACAGCTCGCCATTCTTCTTATATTTCTGGTAATTATGATGGCAAGAAAAAATTTGAAGTCTTCCGTAAAGTTAAGCGCTTGAGGACATTCTTGCCGATGCGACTATATGAAGATGGTACTCGTTACATAACTTCTTTGTTTCTTTATGATTTGATGCCGAAGTTAAAAAAATTGAGAGTGCTATCTCTAGCAACATATTACATCACTGAGCTACCAGATTCATTTGGAGGCTTGATACATTTGAGGTACCTCAACCTTTCTCAAACTAAGATTAGATATTTACCTGAGTCAACAAGTTCGTTGTACAACTTGCAAATTTTGTTACTAGCAGATTGTTGCTATCTCTTGAAGCTACCTTCCATGATGAAGAATTTGATCAATCTACGCCATCTTGATATATCAGGTGCAAATTTAATATCAGAGATGCCTTTAGGAATGAAAGATTTGACATGCCTCCAAAGATTATCTAATTTTATTGTGGGGAAAGATATTGGATCTGATTTAGAAGATTTAAAGTGTTTAAAGGATCTCCGTGAAAAGCTTTGTATCTCAAAGCTAGAGAATTCACAGCATCCAACAACATTCATATTGAGAGATATGCGTCACCTAAAAGTTTTGGTGCTAGAATGGAGTCCTCAACTTGATCATCCACGAGATATTGCAGAAGAAGAAAGGGTACTTGACTGGCTGCAACCTCACGAAAATCTGGAAGAACTCACGATCAAATGCTATGGTGGTACAGAATTTCCACCTTGGGCTGGGAATCCCTCGTTACACTCAAAACCAATGGTACTAAGGGTCCTAAGGTTGGAGAATTGTAAAAATTGCACTTCTTTGCCTTCATTGGGGTTATTTACATCACTAGAAGAACTCATCATCAAAAACATGACAGCAATAAAAAGGATTGGTTCTGAGATATATGGGGAGGGTTGCTTTCAATCATTGGTGAATCTTTGTTTTGAAGGTATGGAAGAATGGGAACATTGGGATCCTATTGGCGAATATGAGCCTGTTGAAAGATTCCCTTGTCTTCGAAAGCTTTCCATCAAAAACTGCCCCAAACTCTGTGGAGCACCATTTAATCATCTTCAGTCATTAGAGAAACTGGTGGTTTATAAATGTGGGCAGTTGGTGGTTTCCTTCTCAAGCTTTCCAAGGCTGTGCGAATTAGAAATAGATGGCTGCAAAAAGATGGCGTGCAGTAGTCTAACTGATTCCGGATCACTGAAGTCTATGACTCTTTCAGATTTTTCCGGGTATGGAAATTGGTTAAGACAAGAGCCATCTATCCTGACCTCCCTCCAAGAGCTATATATTCGAAATTGTGAGGCTTTAACATCCTTACCTGAAGGCCTGGAAAAATTTTCTCATCTTGAATGCTTAGAAATCAAAGATTGTGATTTTCTAACATCCATTGTCAGAGACCAGTTTCCTTCTTCACTAAGAAGATTCTCAGTATTAGATTGTGAGAATCTGCAATCTCTGTTCGATGGTAGAGAGGGGTCTCCTTCTTCAGCGAGTAATGAATCCAAACTTGAACATTTGTCCATCTCCAACTGCCCAGCTCTTGAATGGGTATCATTGGGAGAGCAATCATTTTCAGCACTCAAATTCCTTGAGATTTGGAATTGTCCAAAGCTCACATCAATATCACCAAGAGGTGAGTTACCTGCAGTAGTCAAACATCTTCAGATTCGGAAATGCTCAGAACTCACAACCTTGGTAAGAGACAAGTTACCGGAGACACTTGAGTACCTGCAAATTGACAGGTGTCAAAAGCTAGAGTCAATAGCAGGAAGGTTTCATAATAACCTGTCTCTTCGTTTTATTCGGATCTCAAATTGCAAGAAACTTCAATCCTTACCTGATGGTTTACACAATCTTAGCGGTCTTCATGGGATTGATATAAATGATTGTCTGAGTCTTGTTGGCCTCCCACAAGGAGGGCTTCCAACCTCCATTTCCAGTGTTTCAATTTGTAAGTGTGCGAAACTTGAAGCCTTACACAGCAGCATGAACAAGCTCAACTCTATTCAGGAATTGACCATTCAAGAATGTCCAAGCATCCCATCATGTCCAGCCGAAGGTTTTCCCATCAACCTAACATCTCTCTCGATTGAGGATCAGAATATCCGTGAATCATCACTTCTTGGGTGGAGGTTGCCGAGGCTGAGATGTCTTAAAAATCTTTCTATTCTTGGATGCTCAGATGCTGTTTCTTTTCCGCCAGAAAATATGCTACTGCCTGCTTCTTTAACTATGCTGAAAATTCAAAAATTCCAGAAACTGAAACACCTATCTTCCCAAGGTTTCCAAAGTCTCACGGCTCTCGAACATTTGTTGATAGGAGAATGCCCAAATCTCACATCCCTTCCAGAGGAGGGTCTGCCACCTTCACTTTTACGATTACGTATTTTTGGTTGTTATAAGCTGGAAAAACAGTGCAAGAGGGGAAAAGGAAAAGAGTGGTCTAAGATAGCTCACATTCCTTGTGTTGAGATTGATCACAAATTCATTTACGAGGAATAAGCTCAATTTGATGTCAAGAACAATGAAAGTTAATAGAACCAGAGAATTGCCACATTCTTTCTTTGTACTCTATCAGAGGTATGTCAATTTCGAAACCTGGACAAAATATTTATTCATTCGAAAAAAAAAAATATTTGAACTTTATGATAACATATATATGTTAATTACATTCGAATGAAGTTTTCATAATCTCTGTTCTTTTAAGTGAACTGCTTCTTCATTCTTTCAACAGTTTTGGGTGAAAGGTCAGAGAAATATATTTCTGTTAATTTTTTATAAATTAAAATAGAAGTTGATGGAAGGAAGATGGTGTGCGGCAGTGAACTTTGACTCTATGACAGTTGACAGATATTTCAGGAGTTGGGTAATTGATGAAGGTAAGGTATCTTTATCTAAACTCTTTGATCTCCTTCTTTCCATGCCAATTATTAAATGTTCTTGCTTCTTGAACTAAATATTGGTTTTTTTTATGTAGGCCAATCTTATCAATGATCCAGAGGGCTTAAGACCAGAGATAATCGAGACCTAGAGCGGAACAGGGTGCTTGAACTAAGTTTTTCTTTCTTTCATTTTCATTTGTTTCTTTGTTTTATTATTGATTATTGTTTACTTTTGTTTAGCAGTGGAAAGCAAGTGGACTACATGAACTAGGCTTCCTGGTATTCTGGTAAGCATACTTCATTTAATTGATTGCTTAAAAAAAAATTTGTGAACTTAATCAAATCCTATCGTTTGGCAGATATGGTTTCAGTTTAATTTTGGTTGTTGAGGTTCACTTAAAGCAAGGCATCATTGTAGAGGCGTATCATTTTTCCATACATTAGTAATTCTCATTGGGAGATTGGCCAGGCCAGATCTCAGCCTGAGCCTCTTTCTCCTCCACGCCGCCCTTCCTAGCCAAGTCGATTTATTATGCTCGTCGAGATGAGATGGAGGATGAAATTTAATTGGAAGATTTCTGTAAAGGAATTTTGGTTGTTTGGATGATTATTTCTGTTAAGCCAATTCTTTGTTTGTATTGAATAATATGGTAATGATAAAAGCTTTCACATCTGTCATCAATTCCTGATCTACAACAAGAACTCAACTAAATGGGTGGTTCTGGGCTGCTCTCAAAGTGTCAACAAAACTCAATTATTTTGTCTACAGTCTGACTACAGATATTTCGACCTCTCTTATCAGACTCTCAATTATTTCTCTTATTCTCTCTCTTATCACGCTCTCTCAAACACTACTCTTGTTTTCTCAGTGTTAAAGTATGCACAATACTGGAAATTTTACTTCTTTTTATGTATGTTTATCAGCATCTTTATACCATTTTATTCATTTATCATCAATTTAAGCTTAGATATAAAACGATACGGATTCCTCTTAACTGGATCTTGCCTTTTTTTACACTTTGTGAGAGGATAATTATTGCAGAACATATGCACCATCAATATACTTTTTTTTTAACTTTTTAATTGGGCTTATGTTCATAATTAAATTAAATAAATTACATTTTTCATGAGTAGATAATAATTAAATAAAATGATAGGAAAAAATGTCAACTAAATGGGGTATCCTACATCCTGTATTTCTTCAAAACGTTAATTAATTATGAACCTACTTTGTCTAAATCTGAAACAATCACATATCATTAAATGACACACCTTTTTTCATGGTACATAACATTGTTGTTTTATCACAAATTTCTTATATAAAAACATACAAATTCAATTCTTAATTACTACAAGTATTTAAATATTTAATAATGCTACAGACACCGAAAAATTTGCACCGAAATTGTATACCGGCCTACGTGTAATACGCCTCTATTTTTTTAATAATTTTTTTCTAGTGAACGGCCGTCCATCAAATTTGGACGGCCATTCACTCACATGAACGCCCGTCCATATTATATGGACGGGCGTCCATATACCCATTACTAAAATGGAATAATTTTTTTTTATAAAAATTAGGGACGGGTGTCCACAAATAAGGGACGCCCGTCTTTAATCAAAATATGAAAATTAAAAAAAAAAAAAAAACTTTGGGACGGCCGTCCATAAATTTGGGACGGCCGTCCCTTACGCCATTAGGAATGGACGCCAGTCCCTTACGTTTGGACGGCCTGTCCATACTTTTAAAAAAAAAAAAAAATCGAAACGTCTTCTTCTTCTCCACCATTTTGCATAGCTTCTCCACCATTTTCATTTTGCTCTCAGCCCCGAACAGGACCCAGCTTTGCTCTCTTTCTGTTCATCCATTAATGAGCAAGATGCTTTTCTTTGCCATAACGATGAACTGTCAAGACCCAGCTTTGACACTTGCATGTGCTTCTGACTATAGGGATCCGTTTACCCTTCCTATGTTACCAAATGAAAAGAAGAGAGCAACTGCTGCTAAATTTGAGCTTGCTTCATTGTACGGTGGGTAGAGTGATCAGCTAGCAGTCATAGTAGCTTTTGAGTGCTGGAGGAATGCAAAACAGAGGGTTCAAGAAGCACGGTTTTGTTCTCAGTATTTCTTCTCTTCAAGCATCATGAATATGCTGCTTGGTATGCATAAGCAGCTTCAGACAGAATTAGTTAGGAATGGGTTTATTCTAGAAGATGTCTCAAGCTGTAGCCAGAATGCACATGTGCTAGGCATACTACATGCAGTCCTTGTGGCTGGTTTGTATCCAATGGTGGCAAGGTTGCGTCCACCTCATAAAAATAGAAAAAGATTTGTTGAGACTGCAAGTGGTGCTAGAGTTAGATTGCACCCTCATTCCATTAATTTCAAATTATCATTTAAGAAAACTGAGGATTGTCCATAGCAGCCACTGCTGCGTCTTCATCTTCAAGAAAGAACGAGCAGCAGCCAAGATGAACGAGCAGCAACCACTCCTTGTTTCATTTAAAATGTTTTTTTTTTTTTTTTTTTTTTGAAGTATGGAAATGGACGCCTGACTGGCGTCCATTCCTAATGGATGCCAGTCCAAATGTAAGGGACGGCCGTCCCAAAGTTTTTTTTATTTTTTTTATTTTTATTTTCATATTTTGGTTAAGGATGGACATCCCTTATTTGCGGACCCCCGTCCAAAATAAAGGGACGACCGTCCATAACGGATGAATGGCCGTCCCCAATGTTTATAATATTTTTTTATTGTATTTTAATCAGGGACGCCCATCCCTTGTATATGAACGCCCATCCATATTAAAGGGATGATCGTCTATAACGGATGAACGGCCGTCTCTAATGTTTATAATATTTTTTTATTATATTTTAATCAGGGATGGGCGTCTTTTAAATAGGGACGCCCGTCCCTTGTATATGGACGCCCGTCTATATAATATGGACGGGTGTCCATGTGAGTGAACGGTCGTCCAAATTTGAGGGACGGTCGTTCACTAGAAAAAAATTGTTAAAAAAATCAGAGACATGTTACACGTAAACCAGTACACAATTTCGGTGCAAGTTTTTCGGTGTCTTAAATATTTGTTTTTGGTTTGTTGATTTCTTATTTTTCATATTTACCATTCATAGTAAAATGATCGGTTTTACGTATAGATAAGAGTATATATTTACCATGAGGATAATCAAGCTCTCGTTCTCTTTTGTATGACAGTTCTAAGAGAAATTCATGGATGGAAACTTGCTTAGTGCGTTTCTCCGTAGGTTACTGAACAGACTGGAAGAGCCTTCTTCTGAGTTGAAGCACCTAGCAGCAGTTTCAGGGCAAAAGGACATATTTTTAAAGCTAAACCAGTGGAGTACTATGCTGCGGATTTTCATGGAAGCTATCGACTTTGAGCTCAACGAGGGGCTACTGTCGAATGTGGAAGTGAAAATGTGGCTGGATCAAGTAAAAGAGTTGACCGATGATATGGAGGAGATACTGGATGAGATTTCCAAACAAGCTTCACATCTCAAAATGATGGCTCAAAGTCAGACTACCATGGGCAAGAAAAGTTCACTAAAGGGCCTCATCCCTGCTTGTTTCACAGGTTCGAACACAAGGGCTGTTACGTCTTTTGATGATGAGAATCTGAGTTCCAGAATAATTGATATAACTAGCCAATTGGAAAAACTCAATACCAAAAGATATGCACTTGGACTGAGAGTGACTCTTAGAGCTGTACTTTTCTCTGCGGGTTCCCGAGCCAAAACTATTTATGGGCGAGACGAAGATAAAGAGAAAATACTAGAAATGGTGTTAAGGGATGAAGCGAGAGATCATGCCAACTTTAGTGTAATACCCATCATTGGCAGAGCAGGAGTTGGAAAAACAACGCTCGCACGACTTGTCTATGATGATAAGGCAGTGGAAGACTTCAAACCAAGAGCCTGGGTTTCCCTCTACGAGAATTCCAATGTTTTCAGAATCTGCAAGGCCATTCTAGAGTCAATCACATCTAAATCCTGTAATCTAAAGGATTTAGATGAAGTGCTGGCTCAACTGAATGGAGCAATTTTTGGTAGGAAATTCTTGTTTGTCTTAGATGATGTTTCGATGGAATATCATGGTTTGTGGGAAACTCTAAAGTCTTCCTTTATGGCTGGAGCCCCGGGAAGCAAGATATTAATGACAACCAGAGAAGTAGATATTGAGTTTCTATTCAATCTCAGTATTCGACCTTATCAGCTCGAGGTACTGTCAGATGCAGCCTGCTGGTCCGTGTTCAAGATGCATGCATTTGATCGGCAGTATGCTGGTTTACAATTAATTCGTGAAGAAGTTATTGATATGTGTAAAGGCTTACCCTTGGCAGCTAGTATTCTTGGTGGGCTTATACGCTTTAAGTGGAGTGATGAATGGGAATGTATATTGAACACTAAAATATGGGATTTGACAGAGGATAGTGAAATTCTTCCTGTGCTAAAGTTAAGCTACCAACATCTTCCTTTATGGTTACAAAGATGTTTTGTTTATTGCGCAATTTTACCTGATGATTATGAATTTGAAGAAAAGGAACTTGTTCTTCTATGGATAGCAGAGTGTCTAATTGGCGGACAACCAGAGGATGAGCTAATGATATGTGAGCAGTTGGAAGATAGAGGCAGTAAGATTTTCCAAGATCTATTGGAAAGATCTCTTCTTGAACATTCAAGTAGTCATGCTTTTAAATATAGAATGCATGACCTTGTCAAAACTATGGCCCGATGGATTCATGAAGAAACAGTATATTCCAGATCTGAAGATGTGCCGGGGGTCAATGAGCAACCAGAGTGTGATAAGAAAAATAAATTTGGACTATTCTATGATGTTGACAACTTACGGACATTTATGCCAAGACTCCTATGTAATGATGACAGTCATCGTATTACTGATATGCTTCTCTCAGATTTGCTGCCAAAGTTCAAAAAGTTAAGGGTGCTATCTTTGGAGAAGCACAATATTACGAAGTTACCCAATTCAGTTGAAGGTTTGAGATATTTAAGATATGTCAACCTCTCGAGCACTATGATCAGAACATTACCTGATTCAATATGTTCACTATTCATCTTGCAAATTTTGCTGTTAAGGGATTGCTCTCATCTGGTAGAGTTGCCTTCCAATTTGAGGAAACTGGTTAATTTATGGCATTTTGATGTTACTGGTGTCAATTTACTTAGAGAAATGCCATCAGGAATGAAAGAATTGACATGTCTTAAAACATTACTCAATTTTATTCTAGGCAAAGGTGTAGGCTCTTATTTGAAGGATTTGGAAAACTTAAAGTTTCTTCGTGAACTATACATTTCAAGAATACATAATGTAAAAGATACACAGGACTCCGTATTAATTGATAAGAAGGATCTGAAAGTGCTGGTATTAGAGTGGGATTCTCAGTTGGATGACACACGAGATGAGTCAGTGGAAGAAAATGTACTGGACACTCTCCAACCTCACCAAAATCTGAAAGAACTCACAATCAAAGGCTACGCCAGTACAAGATTTTCATCTTGGCTTGGAGATTCAACATATTCAAACATAGTGCTGTTAACACTAGAAAGATGTGAAAAATGCACAGTATTGCCTTCACTTGGAAGTTTGGGCTCGCTTGAACAGCTCACTATTAAAGGAATGATAGAAATAAAAAGGATAGGTTCTAAGCTTTTCGGAAAAGATTGTTCAACTCCTTTTAAATCACTGAAGACTCTTTGTTTTGAAGATTTTCAAGAATGGGAGCGCTGGGATCCTGTTGAAGAAAATGAGGATGTTGAAATATTCCCTAGCTTGGATGAGCTATCCCTTGTGAAATGCCCCAAACTCCGTGGAAAGTTACCCGAAATTGACTATCATTGGTTTAAACTTAGAATTGAGGAATGTGGGGTGTTAGAGGTTTTGTTCACAAGACTTCCAGGGTTTTGCGAAGCAGAAATAGATGGACGTAAGGTGCAGTGCGGTACTTAAGTCTCTAACAGATATTTCAGATTTCCATAACTGATTGAGGTAAGGTTTTCATTGCCTCCAAGAAGAGAATGTATGATCTGGATCCAGTTATTACATTGTGATCTCTTCAACCATGTTTTGTTTCCCCTCAACCTTGAAATTAATAGCAATGATTCATATCTTATATTTTAATCCATAATCTGTAATTTAATTATCTTATTATTGTTTGTTTATGCAGGCCTATCTTATTGAAGACGCAGAGCTAGGATACGAAGTTCAACTGGAGTTAAGGCAACTATTGTCTAGTGATAGCTAATGGATGTCTGTTTTTCCTATTTGATGAATAAACCTATAAAAGCACCTGTGATGGAATATTGTCTGTTTTTGTGTTTGTCTTAATATATTTAAAACTTTAAAACACTCTGTTCTTCATTTTCACTTCACTTTAGCTTTCTGAAATATTCTGAAATGCATTCATATTATATTATGATGTATTGTCAGTATGCACATTTAATTATTTTCCTAACAATTTTAAAGTGAAAATATCAATAATAAACTATCTGATCAAATTCTCAATTATTTCTCTTATTCTCTCTCTCATCATGCTCGTACTAACTCTCTCTCAAACTCTACTCTTGTTTTCTCGGTGTTAAGGTAAGCACACTGCTGAAAAATTTACTTCTTTTTAAATCTGTTTTTCGAATTATTATTTTCATATTTACATTTTGATGTGTGTTTATCATCATCTTCATACCATTTATTCAGTCATCATTAATTTGAACTTAGATATATATGGTTACAGATTCCTGTTAACTGGATCTTGCCCCATTTTACAGTTGTGACGGGATAATTATTCAGAACCTATAAGCACAATTAAATTATATAAATGATATTTTTCATAGTATATTGATAGTTATAGACTGAGACAGACTTGATTAATTTTATCAACCATTTCTGAAAACATCAATTAAGTTGATGAATTATAAAAAATAAATTATAAATTCTATTGTTGTATTATTCATTTTCAGAGTTCTTGCACCATTTTAAGTGATTATAGTCTGAGTGTCATTTCACATATCATCCTTCTCTTTATATGACAGTTCTCAACCATGTTTAACTCGCTCCATAATATGCTCGATATGTTGTTGGAAAGAATGAGACTGATGTCGTATGAGATGAAGCAAATTGCAGGTCAAGAGCAACTATGCTCAATTCTAGAGAAGTGGCTAGAAATCTTGAAGACATTTATGAAAGTAGTTCCTGAGGAAAATACAGGAACCAGGCCAATGTGGAATTCATAGTGTGGCTGTACGATGTCCAAAACGTGATTGATAATTTGAAGGACATACTGGATGAATTTGGGTCATTGCCTGCTTGTCAGAGGCGGACCACAGGCAAGAAAAGTCCTTAACGATCATCCCTGCTAATTTCACAAGTTTGAATCCGAATGCTGTGTTGGATGGCGATTTGAGCTCTAACATAATGGATATGACAAATCGATTGGAAGAACTCGACAGGAAAAGAAATGACTAATCAACATATAAAACCATACAAGGTTATGTGATTTACCTCCGTTGGTGGCTCCTACTTTGGATTTTGACGATGGTAGAAGCAAGGTATGCGACAGCATGGGAAAAGGAGTGCCGCGGCATGAAAGGAAGACTTTCTCCAAAATTAATCTAGAGGGTTCCATGCCGCAGTTAAGAAAATGGAATGCCGTGGCTTGAAGAAGAGAGCTTGCCTCTAGGAATTTCAGAGAGCCCAATGCAGCGACATTGCAAAAGCCATGCCACGGCATCAAGGAAGAATGTTGCGATATTCAGAAAACCATTCCGTGACGCGAGTCTGAGGAAGAGTCCCAGAATTGACCCGAGAGCATCATGCGGTGGCACACCAAAAAGCATGCCGCGGCATGATCCTGGAAATTCAAATTTCAAGTTATTTGAAGAGTAGTTATTGTTAGTTTATGAATTCTAATCCCCTTTAACTGCTGTCAAAATTCAGTTTAGGGTAGTTAGGGGTTGTTATCCCTTTAACTAACATATAAAGGATGGTGTAGTTTTTTAATGTACTTGAATCAATTGAATAAAATCTTCCTTCAGACACAAGATCATAGAGTTGCCTTCTGACTTGAAGGATTTGATCAATTTAAGACATCTTGATATTAGCGGTGTCAATCTAATAAAAGAGATGCCATTAGGAATGGAAGAGTTGAAATGTCTCAAAATATTACTAAATTTTATTGTAGGCAAAGGCAGAGGATCTGCTTTGAATTACTTGAAGAAGTCAAAGTTTCTTCATGACCTTTACATTTCAGGATTGCACAATGTAGTTTCTCCACAAGACACAGAGGACTTCTTATTAATTGATAAGATGTATCTGAAAGTGCTGGTACTAGAGTGGGAATCTCAGTTGGATGAAACACGAAATCAGTTGGTGGAAGAGAATGTACTGAATGCGTTATAACCTCATGCAAATTTGGAGGTACTCAACATCAAAGGCTACAGCGGCACAAGATTTTCAAGCTGGGTTGGAGATTCAACATATTCTTAAATGGTGGTCTTAATACCGGAAAAATGTGAAAAATGCAAAGTCCTGCCTTCACTTGGATGTTTGGGCTCACTTAAAAACCTCACCATCAAAGGAATGAGAGGTTGGTTTCAAGCTGGAGTATTCTAAGGAAAAACTACAGAGAATTCAACTAAGAAAACAAAATACGTAATTGGTCTCGATTCCATTAAGCAACAAAGGCAAAAAATACACAAAGTTTACATCACTGTTGCACCTACTCTGCAGCAGGTTTTACAATAAAAAATCATCAACCATACTTTGCTAACAACTACAAACATATCACATTACATAATCACCTAATCAACAGCTAATTTACAGAGCTGAATTTACCTAATTTATACATTATATTAATCAAAGAAATTCAGCTCCACTAAATTACAGTAAAACCAAAAACAGCAGCAGTTGAACTTTGAAACTTTTGCCGCCAAACTTGTAGCTCCAAACTCCACAATGTGACCAACTTCATGAGTTTCCAGCATAAATATCGAGGAGTGTTTATCAAGATGATATTATGTGTCTATCCTCTGTTGGGCAGAGGTTTAATGAGAGACTTGAAAGTATGGTGCTGTAATAGATAAGATGAATTCTGAAGGTTTTGTATTTATGTTTTGGTTTGGGAAGGAATTTGATTTGATCATAACAATTAACTAGCTGTCAAGTTACACAGATCAACTTGCTAATCTTCTGTTTCTCAAAATCAAATCGTTAGTTTGTTTAGAGGAGCACAAGAGGATGAGCAATTGGAAGATATAGGCAGTAAGTTTTTCCAAGTAAAATTGGAATATGCTTACACACTGGTGTGTAAAATTTTAAAGACGCGGTGACTGGTACTCCTTGTTATATGTCAGCTGGGCCAGGTTACTTTGAATATAAGAACTTGTATCAGAAATTTGACAGTTGAATATAATATAAATTTGCTAGTTATAACTTGTTTCTCTATAACTTGTATTTATCCTCTGTTGGGAGGAGGTTTAATGACAGTAATGTGTGAGTTGACTTCTGAAGGTTTACATTTAGGCATTTGGTGAGAAAATTTTGTCTCCAATGCCATTCTTGTATTATCAGGCCATGTTATTTTATAAACTTGAAATGACAATTTTGATACATTAATGTGAGGGGGTTAAGGTATGGTTTCTATAAAGATTGTGAAGCAAGCAAGAGGTGTCACAAAAATGGGTTGATTAATCTGCTGCCCTGGCACTGAATTTTAATAAGATATGGGGGTTTGATGCAGCTCTAATCAGCAGGAAATTAATTCCATTGTGAATATTATTATTGATCAAAAAACCTCTAAGACAAATTATTCATCACTTGCCCAAATCTGTAACAATAGTATGTTCTCCTTTTGTATCATTGGGAATTGGGATCTTCTCTTGGGCATAATAAATGCCTAATTAATTTCTCTCTTATTCACCTCCTTTGTTTAGGATGAAAATCACAGGATTTCTACTATAAAAAAATCTCAGGATGTGACATGAAAGGTTCTTATCACAACATCGCTGCGTCAGGAAGTTGACTCTCCAACTGCCATTAGGATAGAGGTAAGAGGACACGGCTACTTCTAAATATCTTTTTATTTATTTATTTATTCATTTTATTGTTTTAAAGCATATATGCACATGAAGATAATCAGGCTCTTGCTCTGTCTCATATTCCTTCTCTTTTGTGTGACAGTTCTACAAGAAATTCATGGCTCGGGAGGTCAGGGCGCTTCTCAGTAGGTTAGTGAACAGTCTGCAAGCGCCTTCCTCTGAGTTGAAGCACCTAGCAGCAATTTCAGGGCAAAAGGGCCTATTTTTAAAGCTAAACCAGTGGAGTACTATGTTGCAGATTTTCATGAAAGCTATCAACTGTGAGGAAAACGAGGAGCTACTGTCGAAAGTGGATGTGAAAATGTGGCTAGATGACGTTAAAGAGTTGGCTGATGATGTGGAGGAGATACTGGATGAGATTTCCCAAAAAGCTTCACGCCTCAAAGTGATGGCTCTAAGTCCGACCACTACGGGCAAGAAAAGTTCATTAAAGGGCCTCATCCAGTTTCACAGGTTCGAACACAAGGGCTGTTACATCGTTTGATGATGAGAGTCTGAGTTCCAGAATAATTGATAACATTGGCCGAATGGAAAAACTCAATACCAAGAGACATATACTTGGACTGAGAGTGATTGATAGAGCTGTATATCGGTGGGCTTCGGTAACCAAAACTATTTATGGGCGAGATGAAGATAAAAATAAAATACTTGAAATGGTGTTAAGGCTTGAAGAAAGTGGTCATACCAACTTTAGTATAATACCGATTATCGGCACAGCAGGAATTGGCAAAACAACATTTACTCGATTTGTGTATGATGATGAGGCAATGGAAGGCTTCAAACCAAGAGCTTGGGTTTCTGTCCACAAAGATTCCAATGTTTTTAGAATCTCCAAGGCCATTCTAGAGTCAATCACTTCTAAATCCTGTAATCTAAAGGATTTAGATGAGGTGCTGGTTCAACTGAAAGAAGCAATTTTTGGTAAGAAATTCTTGTTTGTCTTCGATGATGTTTCGACAGTGAATTATCATTTGTGGGAAGCGCTAAAGTCTTCTTTTACGGCTGAAGCCCCGCAAGATATTAGTGACAACCCGCGAAGTAAATATTGAGTTTCCAGTCGATCTCAATATTGAGCCTTATACATTAGAGGTACTGTCAGATAAAGCTTGCTGGTCTCTGTTCAGGAAGCTTGCAATTCATCAAAGTTATGGTG